TTATTAGTCTTTATAATGAATATTAGTTATATTTATAACTGCCTACCTTAGAAATGATTGTTTTGTTTTAATCAAGATGGGAAACACTGCATTACATTATGCTGCTGATAAAAATCTAATACAATCAGTACAGATTTTAATTGACAAAGGGTGTGAAAAGAATATGCAGAACATTGTAAGTATTTACTAGATGAATTATTGTTGTTTTTTTTTTCTTGAGGAGAAACACCATTAATGTATGGCCCTAAAGCCTATTAAAACATGTATGCTCCTCTTTTGTCCTAGTGGCAAATGGAGAATTCGTCGTTTAATGACAAAGCAATATCGTAAACTGTCTTATTCTGACAATAAAACCATCAAACCTGATGGGGCATTAAAAGGGCGTGTTGGTTCACTAAACTTCGGAGATACCATCACAGGTACTTCGGAACTGAGAAACAGACAACATATGCCCTCCTATTTATATTTCATGCATTTTATCATAATTCAAATTAATCCGTCCAAAGGTATTATATAGCGATAACTAGTCCTTCAGATTTTATGAGAAAACATCATTACAAAACTATTCTACAGGTTGTCTTTTATGGTATCCTCGATAGAAAATCGTTGCTTATACAGTAACATATAGTAACAATTTAAAAATTTTAAAAAGACAAACCGAAAAGCCAACGCCTGGTAAGGAATCAGAGTTTTGCACGAGGGACCAATATCTCAAACCATTGTAAGGTAAACGGAACAGGAATGATAAAGTCACATTGTTGCTATCTTTAACATTTATAATGATTATATTGTGTTAAAAAAACATATGTCAGATTATTCAGCTAACAGTTAGGATATTGTCAATGTTTGTCTAACGTATTTGAATAAGGACTTGAAACTTATTGCCTTTCTTGTAAAACAGCAAAATGCCAAAATAATGTCCGCCCCAACGATACTTTTCTACATCGTTTGCATATATCTATATAATAAATTTTAATGTGGAACAATATCTCTCTGGTAAGGTCAAAGTCAAAATCTTGTATTCAATTAAACTTGAGTGAAATGTCATTTGACAGTTATGGATAGAGGTGTAGATTCTATATATCCTATGCATTTATAAATATAACTAACCCAATTAGAACGAATTAAACAACATATTTATAGCAATTTTAATAGCTATATAATAAGTCTGATTTAATTTCTTTCCTTTTTTTTTTCTTTTTTCGTCTTTATTCAATTTACTTAAAGTTATTTAGAACTGGTTTCACTACGATGAAACACTTCTGTTGAGTACTTTATTTTCTCGTTTTCGCCTTTATTCATTTCACTTTGATCTTCAATACGATGATTTCGTTTTGCAATTGTAAAATCATGTTAACATAACATAGACATCTTCATTTTTCATGAATTCGATTTTCGTGTACTAGAGAGATATATACTTTGCAGCAAAGGAAAAGGTTCACACAGGGTATCGATATTGGCCCCAATGTTCTGTGAAATTTAAATGTAGTAATAGAAATATAACGTGATGACGAAATATGTAAAAATATCGGACAATACAAATTCAACAAAAACTGACGCATTAGAATAATTGTGATGTCATAATTGTGCCCTCTAATTGGAAAATCAAGTTTGGACAACGTTTTGCCTAAATGTTAATAGTTTTTGCTTCCAACGACATTGGTCACATGCACGGACCAATAGATCTTTGTTAAAATGTGTATCTGACCCGTATACGTCTTTTTATAACAATTTCATTTTTGTCGAAGGGTGTGGCCAATGTTTTTTTCTTAGAAGGCGATACACGTTACAAATGCATAAAAATAGGCAATTTAGCTACAAACTTGTAAAATGTCATCCTTTGTCAGCTGTCAACATTGCCAAAACATACAGCAGACAACAAGAGAGTCTAGATTATCTTAATTCGCATATTTAAGATCATAGATATAGGTTTTTACATTTGGTCCACTAGATTGACTTTTGGTTAACATGTGTGAAATAATATTAATCTTAAAAAACCATGGAAATGGGATGCAAATGTCGGTACAATGCTGGAAAAATGAAGCAATGAAGTTAAAAAATATGACGTGTTTTTTTTAGAGTACTACATTTCTGTCACCTATATTATGTACATGTATCAGTCAGATGGATTTCCAGACACAGTACACGTTGTTCAACCACAGTTTATGTAGCAAAAACTATGAAAGTATAAATAAGAAGATGTGGTATGGATGCCAATGAGACAACTCTCCATCCAAGTCACAATGTATAAAAAGTAAACAATTATAGGTCAAAGTACGGCCTTCAACACGGAGCCTTGGCTCACACCCAACAGGAAGCTATAACGATCCCCAAAATGACTGTCGTAAAACAATTCAAACAGGAAAACCAGCTGTCTTAATCTATATAAAAAACGAGAAACGAGAAACACTTATGAACCACATCAACAAAACGACAACCACTGAAAAACAGGCTCCTGACTTAGGACAGGTGCATAAAAATGCACCGGGTTTTAAACGTTTTAACAGGCGCCAACCTTCACCCTAACTTGAGACAGTAGTGTAACATTACAACATAAAAAGACACACTATAAAATATCAATTGAAATGGCTTAACACGATCAAGTAGACATTTAAACAAAAACAAGTAAACATACACTGAATGAATAAGTTTGATCTATGACACAATATAAATACAATATTAAAACGTAAGTGCCTATATAACATAGACATTACAGGTAGTAATAAAAAAGATGTAGGAAGAGTGTCAATAAGACAACTCTTACCTGGGACAAAATGGCGTTAAATAAAACAGAGTACAGAAGTGAAAATATATCGTCATACTAAATACATATCAAAGGTGGTACATATTAAAAATAGCGAGACGAGATATAACAAAAAATAAGTAAACATTGAATTATTGAAATGCATTACAAATTGCGTCAACAGGTCAAATTAACACGAAAGTACGATTTGAGAGTACTCGCATTTACTGAAAGTTAGTTAAAAGCCAAAAACAATTTTCAATAAAAAATCATGCATCAGAGACTTAAATCAATTAAAACACATCCCAGGGATTTAGTGTTTTAACGCCTCGGAGAGTCAAAGAAGATATGAGTTGTGTAATGCCAAAATAAAATATATGGATTCAGATATTCTTAAAACGTACATATCAAACGGAACGGAAATGATAATAACATGTTTGATATAGCAACAGAAGAAGATGCTATAAATGTTAATGGGCGTTGGATATTTCTTGTTCAATGTTATTATTATGATTATTTGAATAATGCACATTCAACCATCATAATATCATTAAAATCTGACAAAAAATGGCACACTAACATATGAAAGAAGCTGTTTAAAACAAAAGATTATACTAAAATATTAAACGAACACAATCATTCATTATTTTTTTTAGAATGGCAATACTGCGCTACATATAGTTGCCAAAACTGACCACGAGCAGATTGTTTCGTATATGCTAAACAGAGATTGTGATCCAAACATACTGAATACAGAGGTGAGTACCAGAAAAAGGGTATTTTTTCCTCGTTTTAACAAATCCATAAATTGATGTATTCATATTAAGATATTACAAATCTCTATTGTTACATTAACTTTAACCTATAAATGAACACTTCTTCATCTTAATAAAAAAAAACTGTATTAAAAGAAATTAAAGAAAAATCAATTTCATATGCTTCCTTTATGCAAAAAGCAAAAAGGTAAACAGACAAAGATACTATCAGAAGAAATAAAATGGTAGAAATGCCAATCATTAACAGAAAATCTCTTTACTAAACTAAAAATAAAAATCAGATTTTGAATCATTAAGGCAAAAAAAATTTGGGGTTCCAACATTAAATCTAAAATACAATAAAAAGGAGAATGTGGAACCTTCAAAGTATTTTTCTATTGAATTAAAGCTGTATAAACATATCTTGAAATAAGTCAAATGCGAATATGAAAAAAATAACGTGACATATAAAATGTTAATCAGAAGATAAAATGTGGACAAAAAGTTATATCAATCCTAAATTTAACAATGCAAAATATGAACATAATCGCACTATCGAATCGCGAAGTCAAGACAACCAATAAGGCGTTTTCATTGTCGGGCAAATTTTATCGTAAATAGTAAAAAATCATAACTTAATGGTATACTTCTAACGATTGAATTGTATATGGTAAAGTTTATTTAAATTGTTATTAACCCTTGCGCCTTGTCGAAAAAAGTTCTAACCCTATGACATGCACATATTATTAAACCAGAGCATGTGGCATTCCTAACCAAATACACTCGAATGATAGCGTTTGAGGTTGAAACATGCAGAAACGTTTGGAAAAAGAATGGAAACAACTGTTATATTTAATGAGTAGACGGTATACATTCTGTGAAAAACCATATTAGTGAGAAAAAAAACGGAAGTGTGCCATCCATAAATGGCTAATACATATTAATCTTATGAACATACTTATCTGTTTATCGAATTTGTTGTTGAGATAAAATTTACATCTAAGGTGTTATAACCTTGAACAACAGTGGGGTAATACTGTAAAATGTAAATACAGAAAACAAATATAGCAATATTTCAGCAATATATCTGGTTTTTGCACTGAAAAGAATACATAAGACTGATTGGGTTTAAGTTGCTTAATTTAAGAAAAAAAAGCACTCTGGATAACAGCGTACAATGTTTCTCATTATATTTGTTCCTTTGATACTCTCATTTGAAACTGTTTCAAACGATTCACTTATATCTTACACTTTTTTTCAGAAACTGACCAACTTTTTCCTTAAGTTAATATATAGTCATGTTCTTTGATTTCACCTTTATCAAATATAAATGATGGACATCAATTGATTGATAACATTGTGTTCATGAATAATAGTGTAATCAAAATTAAATATAGTTTTCGGCCTGGTATTGAAAGAATTATTGTAAAGGGGAAAACAATTAAACAAATATCAAAATATTGTTATAATTTTTAATACATAACATATGTTTGTGATTCAGGGGAAGAAGCCAATAGAAGTGGCATGTTATGAGCCAAATAAAAAGTTATTTAAGGTAATACAAAACTGTTTGTTCTTTTTAGTAGATACTAATAAAAAAAAATGCATAAAGTATTTTCATTTTTAAAAGTTTTTCAACAAGTAATATAATGGAACATTTATCGGAATTGTGTTACTGAATCAAAGTATATGTAAGATCTTATCATCAATATTATGCAAAATTCCGTTTTTAAATTATCGATAAAGTAACGTTTAATCATACCTCATGTATCTTAATTCTGGTTTGCAGGTTTTTGAAAAGACTCTTTTACCTGGTGAGTGTTTTTTAACAATGGAACGATGGATTTTCTTAGTTGTTGAATGAAACTGAGCAGAAAACCAAAATCTTCGTATTAGAAACTCCCGGAACAAAAGTATCTGATCTATCTTATTTGCGTTTAATGCTTTTGAAATGTAGAATTTTTTTTTATTGATATTTCGTTTTTTGAAAACATAATTGAAATCATATTCCTTAGCCAATGACATATTCCTTTTACGTCTGTACATTCATTTGTGTGTCTAAAACTGATGGTAACTGAACGATTAGGTGTTAAACATTTCAAAGTTATGTCGAAAGTCCGAACTAATAAGTATCATTTTTATGATTAAAAACGATTTTTCAATTTGAGAGATTTAGTAAATTGATCAAACTTTTCTTTTAGAGCAACAAATTTAAAATTATATATCTATTTTCAGAGGGTTTAATGGTTAACATGGTTAAGCTTAATAGTTAATGAAATTTCAAACAATCATAGCAACGTGCACGTCAAACAACTGCTTAAACATAACGATTAACCTCTATCAGTGCGTTCGATTATCATGTCTAATCAATCGTCGTCAGTCTGGTAGAAATGCGACATATTCCACCTCTATCCCTAACGACCACGACAAGGCTAAACTGTCAAATAAACACTGTACTTTATCGTGTGATAACAGATCTTCCATGATGCATTATACGTTACACGAAACAACATTTGTCGGATCACAATTTTCTAAATCTCAAATGAAACAAGTGTGGCATTATAGAGAGAGATCATTGTTCAAATATATCTGGTTCATTTTGTCCCTTTTAAGTACAATTATGTGTATAACAATATACCACTTTCGATTTCGTAGCATTTCCGTCAAAAACTTTGGTTTTGGTGAACATCATTCGAGCGTTTAGGGGCTTCGTCGCTTTCTTCCCATATTGAGCGAGCGATTGAAAACATGAAGCTATATTACACGAATTTTTAGGCAAATTAAATTCTTATAATTGATAATCAGCCCTGCTGTCATTAAGGCACTGTGATTAAGTACCTACAGAACAAACATTATTTTTAGTTTATCCTGCATTATGACGATCAGGAGACGCTTGATGAACTTTAATAGTGCAGGGATACAGGCGGTCCCCTCTATCTGGTAAATGACGTCATAAAGGCGCGCATAATTGACGAACTTTTCCGATGAAGGACATAACTCGAAAGTGGTCTATTGTTTAGGGTTAGAGCAGTCCTTGTGTTTCGTAAGAATTTCATGATTACCAGAAACTAAAGTACAAATGCTATTTTGGTTTTTTTTTTTAGCAGAGTTTTATAGTATCCCTATATGTAGCAATAATATTCACGTAGTGGTGCTCTAAATTCGTTAACAATGTGATAAAATAGCTCAGAGTAGCTAGTAACTTTGAAAATATTAAAGTTTTTTTAATATTGCAATTTAACAAAGACAAGAAAAACAAGGCCAATAATGCTTCAAACAGATAACAATACTATCAATGTCCAATTATGAATTCGTTGTTGATGTTGATTAATCACGTAACAAATGCACACACTTCAAACAAAATATTTTCATACGGAAGTTCTTTCTTTATAAAAAGACAGTAAAAAAGCCAAAACTTCTAATGGACTCTTCACAGTATAACGTCTCATAAGCGGAATTTAGAACATGCCTTGCCTTTGACAGTTTTGTCCTTTTGCTTGGTAAACAAAAGTCTGTATCACTGGTCATGATAGATAATATAGTATGTTTCGCCAGTCTGATTTGCTATTTCTCATATTTATATTCTTTCCTAATCAAATCACATTAAGTAAAAATGTCTCCTGAAAATTCTTGAACTGTATGTAAAGCTGACCGTTATATTATTCTGACTTTAGGTCTTCCTGTTGAAGTTAAGAAATTCGATAAGAAATCTGCGCAAGTGTTTGCTAGTCTATTGGAACAAGAAAATTATCCCCACTATGAGTCAAGAGTCATGTTAGTTGGCGAACATGGTACAGGGAAGACAACGATAGCAAGATATCTTGTAGGAAAACGTCCCACGAAACCCAAGATAAAGTCAACCGATGGAATAGAATTAACCAATGGTCTTTCATATATCAACCGTGAAACTATGACCTGGCTTGTTGGAGAGCAAGGTACGTCTTTAACCTAACTGAAACAATAAACATAGAAATGTACGTTAAGATACATTGCATCAGTCATCATTCACATAGTTAACTGCCAACTTGTCCATTATTACGTTAAATTGTCCCAATTTTGGTTTACCTCTATTATTTGAAAGGTGATATGTTCTTAAAAAGTGTCTCGTGATTAGGCAGTTTCTACCTTAGGTATAACATGATCGGTGATTATTAAGTCTGATGTTGAACTTAGTTTCTGATCGCCAACATATTGCAGCTTGCAAGTTCCACAAATATATATATGTAGGATGCTGTAACGCGATGCTACTCCGAACTGCGATGGTCACGCCGAAGTGCCATGGTCCGCGCAGAAGTGCGTTGGTTAACGCGCCGATAACGACCTAGAATGGCGATGGTCTTACTGTGACGTTGACGTTGATTGGTGTATACTAGCTTAAGTGCGTTGGTCGGAAGTCAGAACTAAATGGTCAGGTCATGCAGACTTTAAAATTCAAATTTGCTAATTCTCCACGTGGCACCTAGCAGTATGGAGTCAGCAAATATATTGAATGGCTCTGATTAAGTATAATGGGTTCTAGGAGAAGGTGTGTTGTTATGGAGTGTCTATGTGCAATTAAACGAGGGTTCAGCGTTTAGGTCTATAGTACTAAGCAGAGTCTATCTCATTTTATCAAATATAACGAGTTCATGTCATTGAACAGCTTAGAAATTGTCCAAAACAATCATTGATACCTTTATCTGATGTCAGAACTGTGTTATAAGAAATATACATGCCGCCAAGTACACTTATGCTTGACTTATAGCGAGACGTGTTGCGTGTTAAAATTAGCTGCTTCCCCGCTTATAGGGAAAAGTTGAAATATACACGTAGGGACTAGTCGGGTTTCTAAGATTTATACTATAAGCACAATAAAAGTATGCTTATAATGTCGGTTAATCTCAAGAATAAAACAGCTTATCTCGACATGATATAAAAAAAATCAGTTAGATCAATACATTGTATTTGCCGTACAAAAAGTTTGCGGCTAACTTCCAAATACTAGTTCCGCCAATGTGCAGATAAATTTTATCTTTCATCCGCTTTTTCCTAATGATTTGCTGCCTGACTTTGTTAAACATATTTTTGCAACCACAATCTGCACTGCTCAACACTGTTCCGGACTTGAATTTTTCGTTACTTTCGTTGTTCTTACCTTTGTGAGCATGAAACCTTCATCTACTAAATCGTATCCTCCTGCCTGCGAATCCATGCTTTTTTTAAATAACGTTGCATTTAAAAACTTCACAATATTGCATCATGGAAAACTGTAATAGCGCGCCAATATGTAAGTAGCGCAAACGCCAACGTTTGTAAGTATAGAAATAACTAAATTTTTAACAGTTTTGTATTTTTACAAAATAAAAAAGTATCATTTGTATTATCGATTCCTTAATGCCATGCATCACGCATTCAATTATTTTCTTTGCACATATCTTGCGGCACGGACCAACGTGCTTCAGCGAGGAGCATCGAACTTTAGCGTAACCATCGCACTATAGCGTCCTAATCGCACCTCCGTGTCTTATATACATATATACATATACGTCTAAATATGTTACAACTTACGACAGACGTTCTCCATCTAATAACCTGTGGTTATACAGGTTTCTCGTTTCTCGTTTTTTATATAGATAAGACCGTTGGTTTTCCCGTTTGAATGGTTTTACACTAGTAATTTTGGAGGCCCTTTATAGCTTACTGTTCGGTTTGAGCCATAGCTCCGTGTTGAAGACCGTACTGTGACCTATAATGGTTTACTTTTATAAATTTTGACTTGGATGGAGAGTTGTCTCATTGGCACTCATACCACATCTTCTTATATCTACTAACACCATACTTTATATATACTTCTCCTCAAATTTAGCCAAACACTTTTTGAACTGAAAATGTTCGCTAGCACATATTTGTTCTTCCCTTAGCGGGATTCGAGCCCCTGCATCTGAGAAATCGTGCATGCACTGTGTCCAGCACCATACCAATATGGATTTACATGATAACATATAAATATGTATAAATGCCTAAGGATGGAACTTTAATTCGCTGATGAGTGTTATAAACATAATTGTTATATTTTGTATATTCACGTAATATTTCGTTAAGAGAAATACCTTCATCAGGCGCGTGCAGCCATCCAGGTTAATGACGTTCAAGATTTATTTATTGATTTTTGATACAACGGTTTTTCATTTCTCTCATTCAGAAAGTTGATTTGTTTGCGAAGTATAACAATAAGTTTGTTTATTTTGTTTTCATATTTATAGCGTAATTGTCTTAAAGAGAAAATTTGAACATTAGAACAAAATACAGAAAAGTACACAGCTTAACATGAAAGAGTTTGAGATATAGATGAATTATAATATGAATACTCTGTCAAAATCTGATTTTTCTTATTATTTCTACGAATGTATAAACACTAAACAGAAATCTGTGTTGCTGATTAGAAACAGGTTGCACAGTGTACTACGTAATAGGAGACAAATTGGAAAACTTTTACTCGCATCCTAATCTCCCTACATTAAAGACCAAATATAAACACATTTAGGGATGATCCTTTAACAATGATAATAGTACTTGAAATGTGCCACTGGATGTTATCTTTCTATACCGGGACAACTTATTATATCTTACTGTACACCTGATGTATATACATTTGTATAATTTGGTTTTTTTTTGCTTAATATTTTCTGTTTGCATAGTTGTGTAAATTATCTGGTTCATTCATTCACCGACAGATATCATAAGACTATCATAAATAGCTGGATTTACATGAAAATTGCACTAATGGATTAACACTTTTATTGATTGGTCCATGTTTTTCCCTTAAAATCATGCATAGTTATGCCGACATTGCTTGAATTGCTTGAACAAGACACCTCAACATGAACTGTTCCTCCAAAAAATACTGTATGCTTATGAGAAATACGTATACATTGTATACAATATTAGGTCGTGACGAGGATGAGGGAACGTCTATTTGATATTCGAGGGGGAGCAGAATGATTGTTCCCTTTTGCTTACATTTGTTTCCTGAATTTTATGATGCAGAATATTCTTTTTTAATCCTGATTTGTGCAAAGTTGTTAATTTACCATGCCAAGTTATTCGTATTCACAATCATCCTGGCCCGTCCTAAAACAATGTTCAATCCCATACCGAGTCCTTCAATAGTTTCGTGCTGAATTCAAAGCAAGTGCATATTTTCTTACATCGATCTACTATTGTTTCTATACTGCAGCTCTAATGCATGTCTACACAAATAGATATTAAAATGGTTACAACAAGCGTAATTTCCATCTCTTAACATTGCTAAATGAAACAATCAGTACGTCGGCAAATCTTATGAAAAAGATCAGGTATACGGCTCTTTACACAAAATGATTTTAATTTTAACATGTTTGAGGAGTGCTCTAATTTCACGATTGTATACTCTAATTATTTTGATGTATATCACACCAGCCGAATATCAAGCAATATTGGTCGGTAATCAGTCACAGAGTCACAGGAAAGTCGTGGTATCAATAACTATATTGTAAACTTCAGATGGCAATTTATAAGTCAAAATACACCAATAAAACCGAAACGCCACGACATAGCATAATAGTGCTGAAATTGGCGCTAAATACCGATCAATCAATCAATCAATATGTAAAAAAATTTAATAAAAAATCTGTTTCACTAAATATCCATTGGAAATCATGAAATTTAATGTCACGTAGATTTGTTTCTATGTTAATTCACGAAATTGTTATATAATTCCTTTGTGAAAATTGACTTAGAATTAACTTTTCAGGGAAATCGTTCAGTTTTTTTACCAATGTATCAAGATAATTTTGTGTCAACAGAAAAGATTTCTGAAATTATTCACACCTCTTGGCATCCACTTGAAACTTTTTTTACCAATGTATCAAGATAGTTTTGTGTCAACAGAAAAGTTTACTGATATTATTCACACCTCTTGGCATCCACTTGAAACTTACACTGAAAATTATGATATTTACTGTTATCTGGTGTTGTCATCCGTATCAATGAATGGTAATACAAAATTTGAAGTGTGTATTAATGATTTCTTGAATATCCGAGAGATGTATCTAAGCAAATTAAATACGGTATGAAATATAATATGGGGAACAAACATGTGTATCTCTATACTAAGGAAAAGGTTTCATATGCGAGCCAAAGATCATATTGTTGGAATAGATTTATAGTATGAAAATTGTTTGAAAGTAAATTGTCTTAAATTTGGTGATGATTCAGAGGTCAGTGATTTTCCGTGTGAATTGGATTGGCAAACAAAAAAGAAACAAACTACAATTTTTTTTATTTCTTTCCAACAAGATAACATGATTTGTAAGTACATAATCTTTTATTTCAATGTAAATGAAAAAAGTAGCTGAGAGGCAGGGATAGATCCAGAACCTCTGTGGCTGGGGAGGGAGACCATGATTTTATTTAGTTGTTCAGATATGGATATATTGATAGTTTTTCTCTCAATTTTTTTTTCTATTCTTGATATTTCAGCACCTTTTCATTCTGTTTTCTTTATGTTTTTATCCAGTTCTTCTCTTATCTTTCGTCCTGAACATGCATGAACTAGTTGTCACTGGACGTTAAGCAACCAACAATCAATCAATCTCTTAACTTTCCTCATTTGATTCATTCCTCTCTTCTGTTAACCCATGCATTACTTTCATGTATGGTAATTGAAACAAGAAAAATGTACATACAAATGTATATGTTACTAACGAAGAAGGTCTCATTTTAATGGTTCAATATTTTGTCAACTACCATTTATTTGGTGTGTGTGGTGGGGATGGTTCCATTGAAAATTGTCGGAGAGTATAGACAACCTTTAGTTAATAGAAAACTGATACCGATTAGTCGGCTGTAAACGACCGGACATGAAAAATGTAAAACAATTCAACTGAGAAAACTAACGGCCTAATTCTTAACAAGA